GTTAATTGCTTGTGTACCAGGGAGCAATATTTTTATCTAAATTTATATTCATTTAATCATTCTATTATTCTTTAGGCTATATAGTTAGATCTTTTTTATTGACTAGGTTGGCTTTGGGAATTTGGTAGATTTTTTAACTCAGTAATTTCTACAGTAAGTAGGCACTTAACCAGAATTATCTCAGGACAAATTTCAAAACAAGTATATTACTGATTCTATTCCCACTCCAGCCTACTAAATAAGGAGTTTGATGGGACATATGTATTTTATAAATGCTCTATATATTATATGATTCTGGTAGCCATTTACCACTCTAATTTAGGGAAGTTTTATAAGGTGGTAGAGCTCTTAGCTCAATTTCTACTTAGCTTCTATTGTATCCTGAATGGCTGAAGGATCCTTCCCCTGATGGACATGGTTTGCAGTACAAGAACAACAGTATATAGTTATATACTTCTCTTGCAAGAGAATTTTTAAAAATCTGGTTAAATCTTCTGCCTTTTCTGTCTGCAGGAAAGGTCTTTGTGTTGGGGAAGCTTCAACTCTTTTTTTTTTTTTTAATTCTTTCTGCTACCTCATTTCTTCATTGTCCCTTTTTAGTTTCCATTTTGTGATGGTAAAAAGTTACACACATTGAGTAAGTAATATATTATAAAGAAAGGGAGCCAGGTAATTGTGTATGCCTAAATGAAAATGGTATGAGGAGGAAATCAACCTCTTTATTTTTCTTCTCCTTCCTAAATTTTTATGTATACACTTGATGATATGGAATTATTTGGGAATTTAAAATAAACCTGGAACAGCCTCTTGAATAGGAGGTGGAGACTGCAGTAATTGCCTACCCACATGCTGAGGTTCTACAGAATAACATGAGGGGCCCATCCAGTCCCACACTTAATATTCTTTACTCCCAAGCAGGGCGGTTTTGGTGTTGGTGTGCTCTACGGCCTGCTGGTTCCACTTCTAGTTGCCTTCACATCCTTTTGCTCCAAGCACCCAGATTCTTTTTTATTTTTCCCAGGCTTATTCTGGGTCCACTTCCTTCTTTGTCCTGTGACGTTCTTCCCAAGCACATGGAGCCCTCATGTGGGCTATAAATACAACCTAAATATAAGCATTTACTTAAAATCAAAAAAGAAGAAAAATATCCTAATTGTCCTTTTGCAACAATTCAACAGTTTCTCTTCTTTCCTCTCAAATATAGGAAGGGACATAGAAAATGAAAAATTTTCTTCATCTACTCAGCCCAGAGCTATGCTGTTGTGTTCTGCCTCCTGTGATATATAGCTCTTCAACCTGGAGATGAGTCTTGAGAGAAGTGTTTTAAGAGGAAAGACATATTTAAGTTGAGTTTTAGGAATGAACTTGCCCCTCTTTATTGCCACCTCTCTTTCTCCATTATTTGTTTTCTGTAACCAGAAAAACTATGCGGCTGCTCATACTACTAGGTTAAAACCCATGAAAGCAGAGATTGTCTGCTTTGTAACTGTATCCTCGGTTTAGTACAATGCTTGGCACAGAGGAGTTGTTCAGTAAAAACTTAGTGAATAGAGAAAGAACCAAAACTGCTGAGTAGAAAGAAAACAGTCCACACAAAAATAACATACTATTACAACAAAATAAGGTTATTGTCTTAATAAGCTTTGTTACCTGGTTTCTTTAGGAGATGGCAGTTTTTTCCTAAGTTTTAACCAGAGGAATTTATAAAATTTGAAGGATTTAGAGTGCTCAAGGCAACAATTAGAAGTGGGAATGACATGGTAAATGTAGACAATTTACCGCCAAGAGAAAGAATAGGCTGGTGGCTTAGTAGTCAGGGTTCATTCAATGTAGCGTTGTTAACACTAAAGTGCTTAGTGTTACTGAGTAGAGCATGGATGAACCATCACCTTCAGGCAGGGAAATGTGAGGACTGGCTGAGCCAGTGAGTCCACAGGTGGCCCCCAGAGAATGTTACACAGTGTAATACCGTTTAATAACTTGTGTGCATAATAATAGGTAGATAATACTTATTTTCATTTTGCTAAATGTTTTTTAAAACACCAAAATTTATGAACATTTTGGTACATTAATAGTTTCATCTTTTTACTTCCTTGAAATTGTGAGGTAAGTGTTACTGACTAGATCCATAAAGGATTCTAGAATATGGAGCCTGAACCTTGTTACTGACATAATGAAACATGCAAAGCTGGGAAAATGATGGAGGAAATGTAGAAAAAACACCAGGACTTATTGAGTTTGGCCTAAGTTGATCTTCTAGGAATTGATGTCTTAACATTCTCTTGAGTACTTCTCTTATGCTTCTCATTTTGCTTCTCATATAAAACTCAGAATATTGTAAATATTGATCTCAAAGAAGCAATTTTTAATTAAAATTTTAAATATACACAAAAAAAGTATACAAAGAAATATACACTCGATGACTTGTCAAAGTCACAACTAAGTTAATCAGCATCCAGATCAAGAAAATGAACATTACCAGAAAAGAACCCTTCTAGTCCTTTCGGTCTCACACCTTACTGAAGTCTAATAACATAGTTTGGGTTGAAGGAATGGTGTTAACACTTACTCTGAGGAGTTCTGGAGATTTCTTTAGTGAGCTTGGTTAAAGAAGAAAGAAGTATGAATACAAACAGTTATCTTTTGATTTTATTTCCCTTTCTGTAATTCATGACTGAATTAGGTAAAAGCTCTTGGGAGTTTGAGTTTGGGTCCCATGTACCTTGTTGATGGAAAAAATGGAAGCTCTTTTCTGCACATTTTCTCCTCTCTTTGGCTGAGGAACACAATTTTGTAGTGCCACTTTCTTTTCTGCCTGTTCCTTGGCTTCAAGGGGAGTTACCACCTCTGTTCAGTCAGAAGTAACTTTGATGCTCTGTCATCTGTGTTAATTTATTACTAAATCAACATGCTGAATTTAGACTCATTCCCTGGATTTGCACAGGATATGAGAAATGAACTGTTTTCTCTACACATTTATTCAGAATTAATTATTTCAGCTTTGAGAATTAACTACTCATGGAGTATATAACTTAAAATGAACTCTTTTTCCATGTGGGGGGACTGATGGATAAAAGGTGATCTGGATGGAATTTTCATGACCACTGGCCTTATATTGTAAATCTCATCATATAACATTCTTTGCATTCTAAAAATCTTGCTAAGATTCCAGTCAGATACTTATATTTTTCTGTTTATAAATTGAATCAACTCTTAAGCTTTTGCTCTTTAGAGAAACATACATATGTGTACATGCGCTGTGGAAATTGCCAGATTGAGGTCCTGCTGAATAGGAGAATTTGTCCATTTGACTTTTGTCTTATTATTATTCCCTTATTACCTAGGTTCTCTTAGATTTGAGGTTCTAGTTTTAAGACTATTCAGCCATGAGACTTGATCCCCATTTGGGACTACAAATTAGGAGTTCATCTTGTATAATTTTATTAAATTCATTTTTATATGTGTTTTTTCGGGGGAGGGTGAGGGGGTGTACCAGGGATTGAACTCAGGGGCATTCGACCACTGAGCCATATTCCCAGCCCTATTTTGTATTTAATTTAGAGACAGGGTCTCACTGAATTGCTTAGTGCTTTGCTTTTGCTGAGGGTGGATTTGAACTCTTGATCCTTCTGCCTCAGCCTCCCAAGCTGCTGGGATTATAGGCGTGCGGCACCCAGCTCCTTTTTATGTTTTGTACTTTGGCTAATTTTTAATATTGTGGTAAAACGTATTTAAAATTTACTGTATTTACCATTTAAACCACTTTTAAGTATTCTGTTGGCCATTTGATTTTTAGAATTTTTATTCTTTTTATTTTTGTGGTGCTGGGGATGGAACTCCAGGGCCTCATTTATGCCAAGAAAGTGTTCTCCCACTGAATCATTATCCCCAGCTCACTAAAATTTTTATTCTAGTCAATACGTACCTGGCAAGCATCAAGGATGTGCCTTGTGCTGATGTTGGTAGATCATGGGAAAATTGTGAAAGAAGTATAAATAAATATGGTTCTTGTTCTCAGGATCCCTGTTCTTATTTTCAGGAGATTAAGTTTCATAGGAAAACAAGATATATGTACACCAGTTAAGTAATGACTCATGGTAGATAAGGCCTTAGATGTTTGAAAGGTTTATGTAAAGGTGAAACTCTACTTGGTCCTTTAACAGGGGCAGGATCTGTCTAGTACAAGAGAAAGGAGAAAGTGAGGAACAGTGAGGAACTAAAATAGTATATAAGCTATTTCATTATTAAGTCTATCATCTTTCAGAGAATCTTTTTTTTCCCCCAAGATTTAAGTTCTCAGTCTATTGTTTTTAAAAATAAACTAAATATTTGGATGAGGGAGCACAATATTGGTACATAATTTATATTTTTAAAAGTCTCAGAAACTGAGCTGGGATTGTGGTTCAGTTGTAGAGTGCTCACCTAGCACATGCAAGGCCCTGGGTTCGATTCTCAGCACCACATAAAAATAAATAAATAAAAGTATTGTGTCCAACTACAAATATATTTTTAAAAAAGTCTCAGACACCAATTTATTTAACTTGTGATATAGATAGTATTAAAAATTTAGATATGTAGTAGAAGAAGGGTTAAACTTCCTATTAAAATTCTGTGCAAATATCTATGTTCATGCAGCATTAAACTTTTCAATATATTATCACTTGGGAGTAGGTATTTCATTAGTGAATTTAGAACAATTGCAGTTATCATTTTCATGAAAAATAATTTTATAAAAATCAGCATGTGATAAAACATTTATTGAAATTAATCTTGAATGTCTGCTACTCTGAGAGCAGGTAAAAACATTTATAGAGTGGTGTGTATTATGGGTAAAGAGTGAATTTTCATTAATTTCTGAATAATCTTGTGCTAATGCTCAATGACACATGGTGCCCGTTTTGTTTGTAACGGGTCATGGTTTCTTCTGGGTTAAACATAATGTCTTTCAGACAATAAGAAGTACAAAGTTAAAAGCACATTTTCTCTTTTCATTTCTGCAGGCAGCCAAATGTACATTGGGGACCACCATGTTCACGTGACATCAAGAGGAAACGGAAACCTGTGGCTGCAGCATCTCTATCCAGCCCCAGTGCAGGTGATTATATGTAGTTACCAGTTATTGAGTACCTTCTGTGTTTCAGGGACTAAATTATGTGTTTCATATACCTTTTTGTGTAATCTTTACAAATTAGGTAGGTCATTTTATTCCCATTTTACATAGGAAAACAGATTGTGAGAAGTAATCTGCCCCATTCTCTCTAATCCCAAAGTCTGTACCTTTCACTTTGTCATGTGGCTTTCTAGATTTTGAAACCTTATATTCCACTATTAGCAGTCTTCAGTTATCTGGCTCTTGTTCTGGCATAGAGAGGAAATTGGGTTCGTGTTAATGAAAATTCATTTGGGGTGGCAGTTTGGTAAGTAGACAGGGAATTGTGGTTTCATTTACATTCTTATTTTTGTGTGTAGTGTGATACAGTCTTATTATCTTTATGTATAGTAGAGTGGTAGTATTTTACAAGTCATGAAATTTTTAATAAAAAAACAATTTTTTTCAGGTTAAAACTTTTTAGTTTACTGTTCAAAACTAATACTAGTTGGTAGGAGCCAAAATAGTGGTTATATTTGGTGTGGGAGGTTATGACCAAGAAAGAATACCAAAAAACCTGGGATGCTGGAAATGCTACATATCATGAACCAGGTAGGGATTACCTGGATATTTATATATCTGCATAATTTCTGTGAAGATTATTGAGCTAGACATTTAAGATTTATATAATTCACTACATGCATATTGTTAAAAATGTCAGATATTAAAGATACTTGGGAGACTGAGGTAGAAGGATTGCAAGTTTAAGGCCAGCCTGGGCAATTTAGTGATACCCTATCTCAAAATAAAATTTAAAAGAAAGGCTGGGAATGTAGCTCAATGGTAGAGCATTGCCTACCACATGTAAGGACCTGGGTTCAAATCCAGTACTGTTAAAAATATACATTGGATATTGAGCACATAATAAATTGTTTTATTCTCCTTAGAAAATACAGATTGAACACCCCAAATTCAAAAATCTGAAATCTGAAATGCTCCAAAATCTGAAACTTTTCTGAGCATTGACGTGATACACCATAAATGGATTATTCTACACTTGATCTCATGTGACAGGTTGCAGCCAAAATGCAGATGCAGTAAAAATATTGTATAAGTTACTTTTAGGCTATGCATATAAAGTGTTCATAAAATAAAAATGAATTTTGTTGTTTGAACTTGGGTTCCATCCTAAATGTTCCATATATGCAAATGTTCCAAAATCTGAAAAAAAAATCTCAAATCAGAAACACTCTGGTCCCAAGCATCTTTAGAAAGGGATACTCAGTCTGTACCATACAGTATAGCATGATTGACAGCTGAATGAAGAGTAAACCTTAGGCAGGTATCGAATTCTACCTGCCTGCCTTTACTTAGTGAGTTTCAGCATACTCTGGTATCAACCTCTTTGAGCTTCTGTTTGAGATGATTGCCTGTTGGTGGTTCATATAGGACAATCTTAAATTACAGGTTTAATGATTATGATAAGTTTATATAGTGCTTTTCATATGGCCATATGGCCAGGCCCTTCACTGAATACTTTGCATGCATTATTTCATTTAAACTATGCAACATCTTCATAAGATAGATACTATTTTTATTCCCATTTATACATGAGAAAACTGAGGCTTAAATCACTTCTGCAAGTTCACATGATTGATTAATATTAGAGTCTAGCGCCTGTAGAGCTGTCCTCTAAACACTGTGGATGTTCTGGTTTTTAATATACGGCAGGATTGGTTCCAGATTGTGACCCTGCATCAAAATCCATGTCCTCATCCAGTCTGTGGTATTTGAAGTATTAAACAAAACTTCCTCTGTTATCTTTTTTTCTCCTTAATATCAATTTCTTTTTTTTAGCCTTTAATTCTTTATAAAAACAGAACCATTGGGATGAGTATAAAATACTTATTCCATATTCAAATCAGGAAATGTAGTGGGGAATTAAACAAGACCTTAGCGTTAAACATTTCCCCTACTGAACCCAACTGCTCTCATCTCACTTGTTGACTAAGCCCTGCTTCACTGAGCATTTTTTTTTCCTACCTACAACCTGAGTGCCCCATGGAGGTGAAGGACATAGCCCAAGCCTGCGCCATCAGTCAGTAGAACAAATGGGCTTGCTCTGCCTAACATCGGGCCATCTCGGATTCCACCTCTTTTATAGAAATGAGTGATGAAGAGAGGTGCGTCCTGCTTTGCCGCTGTATTAATACACATCAGAGGCCAGCTCCTGGCACTAAATCACACTCCTGCATACATCTGTTATCGGACTCTTCACCAGTGTGATGAACAAGACTGCAGATAGAGGCTTCCTTGTGTCATTCTTTATAGGATTTTCCTAAAAGAATAAATAGCTCAGATCTCTGCCAACACTCTCCCCTGTCATTGTGATGAATTCAGCTTCTTTCTTAAACATGCAGCCACAAATCTTTTCTCTTTCCTCCCTCCCCCTCTGGTAGAAAGTTTTGAGTTGAAATTGACTGAATTTAAAGATATTAATAAGGCTATAGAGGTAAAGAGTGAGAAGGAACAGTGAGTAACAAAAGGCCATGAAAAGGCCCCTTTCATAATGCTATTTATGTAGAATCTTCTTGAAAGAGCAGCACCTTTATTTTCTTCTTTTTAATCTCCTCCCCACCCCCCACCCCCCCCACCCCCCCACCCCCGCCCTTTATTGCATGCAGGTATCTAGTGCACAGAGCCACACCCTGGACCTTAGTGAGTAAGCATGCAAACCTGCTTCCAAGACTGATAGCCAGGATAGGGATTGCCCAGCAAGTCTGGATCTCATGTTAAAGTGAACTTCTGAATATGCTCTTATAAGTGTACTTGGAAAAGAAAAAAAAATTGATTATTTTCTCCCAAATTTGAGACTAAGTAGCTTAAAGGAACATAACTTGGTTGAAAACCAGGCTTCATTTCCTTGAAATGATTTTCTTTATCAGAGAAGTAAATCAGAGCTGCTGGCATGCAAATTCCATTTCTTCACAAAGTAAACACATGGTACCCACCCCCTCCCCTTTTTCCAGTGCTGGGGATTGAACCCAGGGAAGGAAGAGAATAGGCAGTTATTGCTTAATGGTTGCAGAGTTTCCATTTGAGATTTCTGGCAATGTAGATGCAGTGATGGTATAAAATGAACTTAATACTACTAAACTCTGCTTAAAAATGGTTAAGACAGTAAATATTATGAATATTTTATCATAATAAAAAATGACAATTGGGGGCTAGGGCTGGGGCTCAGTGGTAGAGCACTTGCCTCACATATGTGAGGCACTGCGTTCAATCCTCAGTACCAGGGTTGGGTAGAATGCTGGCCTAGCGTGGGTGAGGCCCTGCCTGAATTTAATCCCCACTTCTGCAAAAAATTTTAAATTAAAATTTTAAAAGGGAACACATACACACACACACACACACAAAAAAAAAAAAAACCACTGATTTTTTTTTTGAGGGTTAATGTTTCACTGTGGTGAATTTTATTTTCTGTTAAATATGAATATGTATGCATGAGTTTGTGTGAGTGTGTGTGTGTGTGTGTGTGTGTGTGTGTGTGTTAGAGTGAGAGACATAAAGATAGATTTGAACTGTTCATATGTATTTCTTGCTGCTATAGTTGAGATTCCAAATACATTTTACATAGTCATTGATTTTAAAAACTTTTATGTATGTGCTGTAAAGTAAGAGCTTTCAAGATGCTTTTATATTTATTGACTGTAGTAAAAAATTTGTGTTTGAATATGTTTGTGATGTACATGTAAATCTGAAATAAATTCAGGGTATGTTCTGATATTTTCTTTTTTTTTCACTGAGGAAAGAAAAAGGGAATACTGGTCATGACCCATTAAGTTAATTTTTCAATTCAAGTTTGAAAATTACTATTCTAGGTTACATTTCTGAGAGTAGGATTATTGAGTGTTAGGGTAAAATTTATACTTTACTGTATTTTGTTATATTTGTTCTCAATGGAGTGAGTGGTGACAATGGTAGTTTGTACTACTCTGTTTAGAGACATTTGGAAATGTGAAGAAAATGTTTGGTTGTCATAGTAGGAGGCGGGGAAATGCTATTGGCATTCAGTAGATAGGATCCAGAATCCTGAATGTTCTGAAACACCCAGCACAATCAAGCACCAGCAATGATTATTCTGCCAGAATGTCTTTAGTAACTTTGTTGAAAAATACTGTGCCTGATTGTGGGTTTTTTTGTTTGTTTTGTTTTTTTGGGTACTGGGTATTGAACTCAGGGGCACTCAACCATTGAGCCACATCCCCAACCTATTTCTTTGTATTTTATTTAGAGACAGAGTCTCACTGAGTTGCTTAGCACCTCACTGTTGCTGAGGCTGGCTTTGAACTTATAATTCTCCTGCCTTAGCCTCCCAAGCTGGGGGGATCACAGGCGGGCACCTGGCCTGATTGTATTATTTTTGTATCATTTGCCTTGTATAGTATTGTCACCTTGGTGGCCTGAGGTATGGCATAAAGAGCACAGGATGTAGATCAAGTATCTGTTGCTACTTAACCAGTTTTGTTGAATTACTGAACAAGTTATGTGATCTCTCCATGCCTTAGTTTCTTGATCCAAAAAATGGAAGTGATTATTTCTACTTCTGAGAGTTTGCATTAAGAAATAGGGTCATGAGTGTTCAGTATTTAGAGATATACAGTGCCTGGCACTTAAGTGCTCAATAAGTGATGTTTACTACACTATGAATCTGTACTGCCCAATTTATTAATTGGTTCAGTTGAACCCATTTTTCTTTTCAGGTTTTACTTGCCTTTTGGTTTCCATAAAGAAAAAAGAGCCGGTTACCTTGGCACATGCCTATAATATCAGCTACTTGAAACCAAAAGGCTGAGACAGAAGCATCACAAGACTGAGGCCAGCCTCAGCAAGTTAGGCTGTGTTTCAAAATGGAATGAATGTACATATGCATGAATTGAGTGAGTGAATGAATGAAGGAAGGAAAAAACTTTATGGGCCACTTGGTTAACAGGATACGAAATGTAAGGATTAAAAAAATTTTATTTCCAAATATTTTTCATTCTGATTTCTCATTCTGTTTTGTCTCCCCTTGATTGTTTTCCTTGTTGCTTTTATTGTTGCACCCAGTTCACTTGGATTCGATGGAGCCAGCCACACCAGCAGCACAAGCCCAGAAGACTCCACACCCTGAGTGGTTGGTCAGGACCTCTGCCACAGAGAAAGCCACTGACTCAATTACAGCTACATTTTTTAAAATGCCACAAGAAAAGAGTCCTGGATGCAGCTAGAGAGCACTGTTCACCCACCTGGAGCTGACTTGGTGTTCAAAGAAGCATTAGCCTTCCTAACATGTAGTCCTTTCCAGTCTTTTTATCACCGGGATGGATGACTCCTCACACAGCTGCAAACTCTTAGAAAATCATGTTGTGGGAATCTTTTTTTTTTTTAAGCTAGTGAAGTATTGAGGCAAAAAAAAAAAAAAAAGGTCATTCTCATCCTATTATGCCCCATCTGGTACATTATTGCTATCCCATCATTTACCTATAGCTCCATTTACAGAGCTGTTGCCTTTTTGCAGGTATGTCTTTGTTCTTGAAAAACTGATAACTGCTTTTGCATACCTTTTGTGAAGAGCTTTTAATATCACTTGATGAAGTCCCAAATTTGCAGCCAGTTCCACATTCCTAAATGGAATTGTGTTTGCAGGAGATTAGGTTCACCTTGGAGCCAGGTCTTGATTCCTTCAGAGTGCCAATAAGCTGTATCTGTCAAGTTCTAAAAAGAGACACCAGCAGTGTGGCGGTTGGGAACTTCAGTTTTTCTGCAGATGATCTAATGGGATCAGCAGCATCTGCGTGGTACTTCACCTCATCTTCAAAGTTTATGTTTTAGTGAAAGAGGATGTATCCATACTTAAAGATGAGGAAGATGGTTTAGGTGTACAGCAAACTTAAAATAGTCATGGATTGTGTCTACTTCATGTTACAGTGTAAGCCTTTATGTTCTAAGTGGGACTTTATTGCTAGTGTTATAAGTCAGTAACCTATAGCAGAAATTTATACTCTATTATAATTATGGCTTCTCGGGGCCATACTTTGGTGAGAAAAAGTGTCTTTTTGACATACCTTTATAGTTGGCGTGTTTATGACGGTTCAGCTGCATGCAGAGATAGATATACAGTCGTGCCTGAAGTTGGAAGCTACTTTGTCAAAATGAGGAATAAGTGATTGCCTAGAGCTGCTGGGGAAAAGCCACACTTTCTCAAAAAGTATTATCAAAAGTGTCATTCAGGAGCCTGGTTGACAGAAGGGCTCTTTTTTTTGTACGAATTGAGTGTTTTTACTCTGAAATACATGGAGACTGTTTGTTAAATGCTCACTGCTATGGTCACATGGGAGAGGAGCATCCATCCACCCCAGCACCTGGATATTTTCTGTCTTAAAAAGAGGTGCTGAGTGGAGCAGCACCTCCTTCCCCCAAAGTGTGATTCTATCTTCCTCCCACACAGAATATAATAGTGGGTTGTTTTATTGTGTACCCTTTAAAAATTGTTCTTATCAGTAGAAACTCCAGAGTGTCTTGGTGAATGAGGTGGGCAGGTGGACGGGTATGCATCTAGTTAAAAAGGGGGAACTTGAAGAAGAGTTTACATAGCACTTTATGTAAGACTGAGAACATGACAGTTAACCATAACAAGGAAAATGAGGGAGGGGCTGGTGGAGATCTTGGAATGACTGAAGCCATCCCAGCACCCTGGGAATCATCCCTGGCTCTCAGGCAGGAGTGAGTGTACCGACAGAAGTCTAAGGCTATACTCAAGAAATATAGAGAATGTAATGTCTGTTGGATATAAAATGGCACTGCTGAATTTTCTTAATGAAGAAGGTAGGTTTTGTGGCCGTGTGCTGTCTCCCCATAGTGGCCAGGGGCACATTAATCCAACCTACATAGTTTGATTTAAGGGAGAAATCTGTGGATATAACTTTTTTTGTTAGTGCCAAGCTCTGTGATTCATGCAGAGATTGGTCATGTCATGACCTGGTAAGACCTCTACAGTTCAGGTGCAAAGGTGTTCCAGCATCTTTTTTTAATGACATGTTGCCTACCTTTCTACCTATGATTTAAAATAATTTATATATGCAGCCTTATTTACATTTTAAACATCTCTGTGAAGTTATGCCATTTTACAGAGATGAAAACAGTCATGGAGTTGAGTGACTTGCCTATCACATGACTAAGCCAGGACTAAAATTCCATAGTTTCAGACTTTTCTCCCTTGGGTTATAATCTGTTTTTTCCTTTGTAGACCCAAATAATCAGTCTTAGACCCATGTTTATGAAACAGTTTGCCATGAATGTTTATCATCTGTCTTGGGCATGCTTTGCTATATAGTTTGAATACTTTCAACAGCACTCACTCAAGAATGCAACATCTACCTGTAATAAATGGGAAGATAAAATTAGTTGACTGTGAGAATAGAAATTTAAGCACACAAATACTTTCCAATACAGGGTGACAAATTGTGCTCCTCATTTTAAGGTGCTGAATGTGCATGCAAAATTATTAATCAATTTATTCTGCTTGTTTTTTTGTATTAACCAATACCAGAGGCTTGCCATGGAATCAAGTGTATTTTAAATCTTAAATTTTAATATATTATACAATGTTATAAATTAAGACAAATCTGTTGCCTTTTGAGAAAAGATGTAGTTTCAAAATCAGATTTTGTGATCAGTTTTGAAAAAAAAATGAAAGCAGGACATACTTTGAGAATAATCATGAACTCACATGTTTGATCTGATCAAAAGTATAACTGAAGCTGAGTTTCATGGTTTTTATTTCTGGGTCTGGCTACACAAATTCTCTGAACTCTGCTATTATGTGTGTTCCACAATGGGCAGAAGTCAAGACATTATCCACTTGCATGAGGACCATTCATAAAAAAGTAAGTTTTACTTATGAGTTTAGGGGAATTTCACATTGTTTCTCGGATGCAATATTTTAAAGGAAAAACTTAATTTGTATCAAAACTCTGTTTCACTTGTTGGTAAGACTTGATCAGAAGAGGAAATTAGTAGCTGTTTACATGTTTCCAAATATGGAGGAGGCAGAATATAATTTTTACTGAGTGGTAGGTGGTTGGAAAATAGGCCACATTTAGCCTTGAGTTTTTTAGAAATCAATTTTAGTTACAGATTTCAGATAATACTGTTTTTCTGGGCTGTGAAATAGGCTCCAAGCAAGCTAGTTCTTGCAGCCAAATGACCCAAAACTGAAGTAAAGCTTAATCTGCTGTGCTTGTGGTTGGCATACTTTGTTAAATAAAGCTCAACACCTAGAACAGTAATTATTCTAGTTAAGAATCTCAGATAGTTTAATCTGACATAGCTCTGCATTTCCGGATTAGAGATGCTATGCACATAGCTATATATCATTCTCCCTTGGCCTAGAAAGTTCTGATGCTGCTGAGTTATCCCTGAAGCCACTTGGAGTTGAGAAAGCCAGTGTTGCAACAAAGGAGCTAGACTGGTTCAGTCTTCGCTGATGTGCTGGGTGCTTCACTTGGGCTCCAGGTGAAGGTCCCTGGTGATGCATGATTCATTTTAGGTCTTTGCTTTCTTTGGTTTTCATTACTGTGGTTCCAAGCCACAGTTTCCTACCCCCACTTCCTGAGGTGTGAAAGTCTCCACATTAGAAGCTATATGCAGTGTCCTGTGTCTTGTGAATCTTACCTGAGCTGAGGGCAGAGTGGCTTACGCAGCTGTGGATGCAATCTGGTTGAGACATAGTTTAGATGGGTCATGGGTTGTGGGATGGTGGCGGGGATAATTTGCTCTTGTTGGCTGCTTTCTTTGCTGATGCTTGAGCTGCCAATTTTACTTGTCAGTATTTCCTTATCTCTTATTCCTCTTAGCAGAATTGCTCTTGCAGGCAATAGTCAGTGGAGTTCCTAATCCATCAGAAAACTACAATAGAGGGGCTGAGGTTGGGGCTCACTGGTAGAGCACTCGCCTAGCACGTGTGAGGCGCTGGGTTTGATCCTCAGCACCACATAGAAATGAATAAATAAAATAAAGGTATTGTGTCCAAGTATAACTAAAATAATATTTTAAAAAAATAAAAAGAAAAGAAAACTACAATAGAAGGCAAAGGTGAGGAAAATGGTAAGTTCTACCACCAGGCGCTAAACAAAGGACACAGATGTGTTCTCCTGGAAACATCACTATGATAGCAAAATAAAGATGATGAGCAATGTTGTTGGAGTGTGGATTATAAGATTTTTAATAAGCCAGGTAAAAGAGATTATGGTCATAAAAAAAATTTTGTGTAAATCACTTAGCACAATGGTCAGATTTGGTGACTAAGAAATTTCCAAAGTATAGTATTGAAAGATCCTGATGTAATATTAAAACATTCTTATATTCACTGACCATCTCACCTTGTCGAGATAAAGATGTGGGAAGGCAAAAGGAGAAGGGGAGATGCATAGAGCAGAGGTTCTCAGAGTATGGTCCCTAGATTATGTTTTCATTGCCAGACCTACTGAATCAAAAACAGGGTTAGCCCAGCAAGCCTTTAGCTTGCCTTCCTGTGCATGCCAACATCTGAGAACCACAGGTTTGCCACAATGAAATGTTTTAATGGTGCCTAAGCTCTGAGGCGCTCTTTTCTTCCCTGTATAAGTAAAGGGATGTTTTGTGTATGCTGCTTTGCAGAAATTATTCATGTCTTTATTTCCTATGTTTTTTCCTCCACGAGCACTTGAAAGATTGAAAATATCGAGAAAGGATGATATGGAGGAGAATGGCATCAAGGCCATATTCAGGTGGATGGAAATAACCTTTTTTAAATGGGTATAAATATAGCAGTAGATTTTTAGCCTTTGAATGATAGTCATTTTCACAATTCACAGTAAAAACATTATTTGTATAAGATACTACCACTTATTGGTTTAACATATTTGTTCATTAAATTTTAGTTTCAAGGGAATATGACGTATCCAGCATGATAATCATGAATCCTTTAAAGTGTGGCTTATGAAAATGAAAAAGTTGGCTGGGTGTGGTGGTGCATGCCTGTATCTCAGTGACTCAGACCGCTGAGACAGGAGGATAGCAAGTTCAAAGCCAGCCTTAACAAAGGATTGAGGATGTGGCTTCCTGGTTAAGTGCCCCTGGGTTCAATCCTTGGTACCAAAAAAAAAAAAAAAAAAAAAAAAAAGGAAGGAAGGAAAAAACTCCTAGGGTACATTGCATACATATAATCAATATCTGTTCAGTTTTTGGTAATCATCTGCTAATGCTTTATCTCAGCACTCAGAGCATACAAAAATGAGTTTTCCACAATTCCATTAACATTCTTTTGTCTTCGTTTTACATTGCAGCTAGTTGAGTCTTCAGGGGTTGGAAACGTAACAGCAATATCATGCTATTTCTGTTGTCTGACTCTGGATTCAACATTTCAAAATGATACTGTAATCTTAAAGCTTCGAAAAGACATAATGACCATTTGTGTATTTTATTTTTAGTAATTAGGCTGGATCCTAGCTTGTTGCCAAAGCCTAGGAAACCAAGTCCCCTTTCAGAAGATATGTGTGGTTAAGGAGTTCTTGTATTTGCAGAGATGTACTAGGAGTTCTGTAATATGTTTCCTTAGGTGTTTATGATGAGTTATTTAAATGTCATTTCAATTGTTGCAGTCTACACCAATTTTTCTTTTCCTCCTTAAAGATCAGTTAAAATACCTCTGGCCAAAAATACTCAGTTTTACTAGAAATTATCAAGAAGCCCTTTATGATATGAATTATGTAGATTAATGTTTTCATTCTCTGAAAGTTGTGACCCTTGCAGCCTGTTCAGTCAAATATTTTTAATTAGAAAAGTGAAAGCAAATATTAGAAAACTTTAAAATGGCCGTGGTAGGTTTAACTTAAAATCAACCTGCTTCACTGTGTATAGATTCTATATCTTGTTCCTCCTGGTAGTCCATGGAAGAAATTTTATGACCAAGCAAACTGATGCCACCCCAAAATCATGGTGATTGAGATTGGATTGCTCCATTTTTAATCTCAGTCAACACCTCTCCTGTTGGTAGGAGTTTTTACACAGCCATTCCAAATCCTTGTTACCTCCACCTTCTCTGAGGCAGCACTAGGCAGCACTTCTTGCTCACTCGTCCTCCCATGCACATGTCTTCGCCTGTTCTTACAAGTGCCCATCCTGCCCAGGAGAACCTTTCTCTACCCCTTGCACTCTCACTCTGGCTACAGCCTCTCCACTCACACACAGCTTTACATTCTAATGTGTTAAAAAAGACTCTCTTCAAACAAAAATTCCTCAGCTCTGAACCCCTGCTACCATTGAAGACCACAGAAGTATACCACCCTTACCTGTGAGTCCACTCATTCTGCAGTCCACTGAAGCAGTGGGTTTTTTTTAACCCCAGGTGCACATGGGGATCACCTGGAGAGCATTAATAAAAGTTGAATTCCCCAACTGGACCAATTATATCAGAGAAAGAGGGAACAGACTATGCTTTTTAAAACTGCAGCAAGGGCTGAGAACTACTCTAAAACCTCCCTGTTACCCTTGTCACCATTGAAGTTGTTCTTGCTGGGTTCAGCAGTAACTTTTCACTTCGAATATTTAGCCCTTGGGTTGATCTTTATGATGCTGGTGTTGTTAGACTACTTTCTTTATCGGGAGCAAGGTCAGAAAAGGAAGAATTTTAGAAGGAAGTGGTTTGCACTTTCTCCATTTGCACAAGCAGGCAGATTGGTTGGTAGGTGAGTCCAGCACAGACTGGATGTCTTGTCTCTGACTCCACCTGTTATTTTAATTGATGCCCATAGGCTAATGAATTCCTTTGCCCTACCACCTTAGTGCATCAACTTAAAGCATGGGTTTAGAATGAGGCACTTGGATTCATTAATAATTATTGTAAGCTTTGAGGAAAGCATATTCAGGGTCTCCTATGCTTCTTTATAAGTGCCCATCCTGCCCAGGAGTTTCTCCAAATCATAAGGTAGGATTTGCTAATCAGATTAGAATCTAAGAGATTACCCCGTAGACTAGAGGGTAGAGCTGCTATTCATGAAAAGTCAGGCTTGAATAGTACCCTCCCCCATCACATGCTCTTATGACTTACTGGGGTTTTAGACACTGGCCCTCCCGCTTGGCCATCTCTGCATGCTGCCCTAGACGTGTAGGGGTTCCATTCAGAAGGGACCTTATATGTACCTGGCTCCTTCAAATTACTAATTTCTAATTCAATATCTAGGGTAGGTGGGTATGCCTAGTAGTCATGTCCTAGCCGTAGAAAGTGAGAAGCCTTCTGTAGTGTTTAACTTCCACTGGAGATGGGAAACTAGCAAACACAGGAAGGTACCTCACAGGCGGGAACAGCCAAAATAAAACAGGTCCACTGGAGTCATTGCCCTAGTCCCTAATTCAGCTGAACACTCAACACTAATCCAATCCTCCTCAGGAACCTCTTAGGGAAGGGAGTAGCTGCCCCAGAGGGGAATATTCTAGGGTCCCTTAGATATATGCCTTTGAAACCACTAGAACCTATCCGCTGTCCTTTATAATGATAATGGAGAATATTTACCAAGTGATTATTATATGCCATCTATAAGCATTTCATTTATTTCTCAACAACTAAGCTTGGTATTTATCCATTTTAAAGTAAGGAAATAGTTTCAGATTAAAAGTCGTAGTTATGAAGTGTCTACCTGGATTCAAGCTCATCTGTTTATTAGAGTGACTGATCCCAACCAGTACCTATGCTGCCTCTTCACAATACAGATGAACTGTTGGAGGCCATACGTGGAAGAAATACACTGTGGGTCGCTGGGCCAGGGCCAGGTGTCTGGTGAAACCCCTTAAACCTTTGGCTTGTTGCTCCTGGTAGGCTATTTATTTGCTAATTGTGAGTGGATTCATTCTCTCTGTCTACATCATTGAAAGGAAATAGACAATTTCTGGGACATTGTCTTATTACAACCCTTTTTTTGTTTGTTTGTTTGTTTCAAAGGTGGCCAGAGCAAAGGAAAAGACAATAAAATCAAGTCTGTGGCAATAAAAAAGTACTGCCCTGTGCTGGGTGTAGTGGTGCACACTTGTAACCTTAGTATCGTGTGAGGCTGAGGCAGGAGGATTGTGAGTTCAAAGCCAACCTCAGCAACTTAGGGAGACACTGTCTGAAAAAAAGAAAAGAGAAGTATTATCCTTTGTGTACTAAGGTTCAACAGATTTCTCAGCCAGAATGACATGTATTTCAAGTTGTTAATGGTAGTGATGGACTGTTAAACATCTTGCTAGACATCTCTTTGCTAGCAAAACAGCTGTCTTAAAGTCTTGGCTTTTAGGAATGCTCTTTATTCAGTAGATGTGTAAAGAATACATTTTATATATTTTTTTGTATTTTTTTAAGAGAGAGAATTTTTTAATATTTATTTTTAGTTCTCGGTGGACACAACATCTTTGTTGGTATGTGGTGCTGAGGATCGAACCCAGGCCGCACGCATGCCAGTAGAGCGCGCTACCGCTTGAGCCACATCCCCAGCCCAAGAATACATTTTATGCCAAACCATACATAATAGGAGCTGAGTACTCTGGAATTTCTGCTTTCATAAAGTTCATAGTCTGATGAGGAAGAGAGTAGAAAAACAAGTATTATGTTGGGGGTTTGTGCGGGAGGAGAATATCAGTATTTTTGGCAATGCAGTTGAGGGCACTTTAATTAAAACTGGGCAGAAGAAGGAGTCAAAAAAATATGACTCTGAGTCTCGAGCAATGAAGAGGAGTTAAATGGAAAAAAAAAAAGTTGAAGTCTTCCGAGGGTGGAAGCATGCTTTGTTTAGAGCGGCACATGTTTTGGTGTGGCCAGTATAGCGATGGGCCCTTGTGCTTGCGGTAGATGGTAGTGGCGGGCTGGCTCGTTGATTTGGAGAGCTGTGGTATTCAGCTAAGTTCAGCTGTGGTTATGGAAACCCTGCTACTGCTTGGCCATTGTGC